TGGCGCAGCGCTCTTCAGCGTTGTATAGAGAGAGAGAGAGAGAGAGAGAGAGAGAGAGAGAGAGAGTGAGAGAGAGAAAGAGAAAGAGAAAGAGAAAGAGAAAGAGAGAGAGAGAGAGAGAACATTTGCCAGCAATTTCACTGCCTGGCTTCTTACCATTGGACTGACTTTCTCCTGCTCGTGAAATTACCGCAAGAATATGTCGGGGTCCTTGCCCCGGGGGCTGGGGCTGGCCACTATTCCAGTCCTCCTATTCTGGTTTTGGGGGGGTGTGCCCGGGTTGCCTTTGCTTTTTCCAGAAGCTGTAGTAAAGAGCTTGCATCCCCAGAGCTGGGAAAGCTTCTGGGATTCAGGCAGCCTTCAGGAGCTAGATTTGGAGCAGTTGATGCTGGTTTTGGTAGGGTTCTGCAGCCTTCAAGGGCTGTTTATTGATGCTTTGTGCAGCAGAAATTGGTAGTGCCCAAGCCTGGTTTGGAAGTGTGAAGCAGTTTTTTGTTTGGTTGGGAACCAGAATGAGAAAAGTGTGGACACTACCCTGGTCCGCAGTATTCATCAAGTGCCAAAAATGTTTTCCCTGCGCACACATGCGTTGTTGCGAGTTCTTTGCTTCGCACGAGCTGTCTCTCATGGACAGAGTTTAAGAGAGTTGTGAGTCCTGTGGCCAGTCGCGTTGTGAGCGTGACGCATGAACCACCGCAGTCTACGACCCCAAAACTTCCCAGCAAAATCAGGGCTCATAAAAAAAATATTTTCCCGGAGCCATCAGCCAGACTATGACCCTTATGCAAGGGTCATGGAGCGCGTTTACTCCCAAAGCTTGGATTTCCGAAGATAGTTGGACTGATAACTACCAAAATCGGGCCCAGCACCATTCAGAGCCGCTCTCATGACTGTCATGACTCCCCTTGCAAGTTGGCGATCAAGGCTCTGAATCAGATGTTTTTTTCAACTGCTTTTCAGCATCAAATGAATGGTGCTGTGGGAACTTGAAGCCAACCTCATGATCATAAGAATTATGTGTGTGTGTGTTTGTTTAGCCCCTACCAGTTCCGTCAAGTGCTCAGAACAAGTATATAATAGTTTGGTCACCTGAGGGGCCAGCCAACTGCGCGCAGAAAGCCTAGGTGGGGACCCCGAATTCAGCAAAAACAAAAAACAAGCGCCTTTCAAGAGCACACGCGGGCCAGGCACTCTCTCCAAGACCCACCTTTTTCGTGCTTCTTGGGGTTGTTGTTTTAAATGGTTGTTTGTTTTCTTCTCCTGCAAGGATTTGGTGGTCCTTGTTTCAACGTGAATTTCCCCCAAGGTTGGGTTTGTCCAATCGACATACCCCAAAAAGGCGGATGTTGGAGTGGTTTTTGAGCCTGCTGCTCACCTCAGTCCGACCTTTTCGGGTTGGACACGTTTAGCGATTCTCGAGCAAACTTCTGCTGCAATTTGGATCGCAACACGAAGGATCATCAGAAGAACTTTCGGATTTTTTAAGTATAATCAGGGCACGGAAAAACCCTGTTTCCTGGTTCACTTGTGTGTCCCCTTTTTTGATTGGCAGTTTTGTCGTTTCAAATAGAATAGTGTTGAGTCAAACCATTGTGAGACGCCCCACTTGCAATTCAGGGGTCCCGTATGAGTGAATATCTTACCTTTTCCGAGCAGTTATCGCGCACGACTTCAGAGCGAAAGCCATGGTTGCTGAACAGTTTAGGCCTTTACTTGGTCACTTAGTTTATGTTTGTTTTGGCTGGTTGCTTTGTGGGTCGTGATCACTTTGCACGTGTCGCTGCAAAGAATAGCCTGTTGGCTGACACACCAGGGGAAGGTTGAGCCACTTTGGTGCACTGCCTCAGCTAGTTGACTTGGAGCGGTTTCAGATGTTAGTTGTGCTCTTTGGTCGAAAAGACCAGAATTCCAACCAGAGTGCAAGCTCAGACCGGGCAAATCAGTTCCTGGATGGATGGCCATTGATTCACTGGATTCTCAATGGCTGGCCAAAGTTTCAATTCGGACTATCATAAACATCCCTTGGGGCCCGTAACCCATACGGGCGTGTCGTTCTTTTGTGAAACCTCCTTTTGGTTTGGTTGAAAGGGAAGCCCACAAGGAAACCAACCACTTGTTTGGAGTCCCTCAGTTTTGAGACACACCCAGAAGCTGGTACATCGCCAACTTATGGTTTCACCGGCCCCAGGAAGTACATGACCCTTGCCCTTTGTATTGGAGTCCTGCTGAGCTGAATTGCACCGGGAAAATCGAGAAATCGGAAGTCGAGGCTGTCCCAACCAGACGGCATGTTGACCCCCGTTGACACCCACCGTTACATTACCCTTTTGGTGGTTTTAAACGTCAGCTTTTGGGCGAATTTCAAGTAAGGTTCCCTTTTGGGATGATGTTCCTATCAAACCCGTGAAGGGGTACAATGCTAAATGCGACCCAACCAGTTTATGTGATTTTGAAAGCGTAGAGCTGCCCAAACTACCGGGGCCCGCTTTTCCCCAGACAGCTGAAAGCTACAGGGGTTCTAACTTCTAATAAAGAGGGGAAAGTGAAGAGGGGAAAGTGAAGAGGGGAAAGTGATGTGCGAGATTGATGGGCTGGGGCTGGGGGGCGTGCAGTTTGGGGTGCTGGTGTAGGTGCTGCTTGGGGCGCTGTTTGAGGTGCTGGAGAGATTGATGGCTGGGTGCTAGCGGGCAGGCAGGTGACGGTGCGGGCGTATTTTGGCGTGCAGGGCGGGAAACCATTTGGGATGCTGTTTCGGGTGCTGTTGGAGGTGCTAGTGACGGCGCGGGCGCACTTTTGCGAGATTGACGGCTGGGTGATGTTTGGGGCTCTCTACGGGGGGGTTCTTTTCACTCAGCAGCTCAAGTGAATGGCAGGACATTGCAGAAATTAGCAGTTTGTCATTTGGATTCGATCATAAGCTGCGAATGCAAATCCTTTGGCTCGAGCCTTTTCTGGCGTTATACATTGAAAGCGAAGCTATGCCGACGAAGAGCCTGATCGTGATAGGCCCTTATGTGGTAGCTGCGGACAAGGCGACTGGCAACTTGCGCGGCTCCGATTTTCTCACAGCGGTGAATGGCACGCGACAGCTGCAATAAGATGAGCCCTTCATGCCTCTTGCCAATGTGTATCTCGGCGGTTCCCAGCCACATGGTTTCTTCGTCATTTTGGGCTTATAGAGTTTAGTGCAGGTTTATGACATATCCCACGAAACGTTTAAGGTTCAGTGGATCAATGCAGCAGAAAGGTATTTCATCGCCAACGAGATCAACATCAACCAGAAGACCGACATGAGGAAGCAAGCCGATAAGCTGAGCCCAGTTTTGACTGACGGCTTTGCCATCTACGAGATGACGCGGGCCTTCATTGCGCTGGAGAATCCGTCTGGCCGTGAGATAACCAGCTTTGCTCTTGGCGTTGCGCGTGACATACTGCCAGTAGCTGGCTTGGCGGCCAACACAATCGTGCCAGGGGCTGGCACGCTTAGCAGTTGGAGGTATTGTCTTGAGTGTTCTGGACGGCTTTGGCAGCTGTGGGAGCCCGCAACCGACATTCGAAGAGCAGGTTGCTGATGCCTTTCAGCAGGTTCAAGAGGCCATCAGCAACCTTCACCAAGAGCTAGCAGAGTTAATCTTGCAGGTTGACCAGTCCTTGCGCACCGCCGTCCTTGATCGTGAGGCAGACAATCTGCGTGACCGAGCTCAGTTCGCAATGAACACTTTCCATACTCGGATCCTTGACATTGCAGACTCCAGAATGAGCACTGCAAATGAGACACTCCGGCGGCCCTGGCGAGTGTCGTCGGACGCACGCGACCGATTGATGCAAGAGGCCTTTGGCAATACCCAACGCCAAGCCTCTGCAGGTTTCTCGAGGCACTCGACAGGAAGTCTTGAGCCAGAAGATCAAGCTTGCCGGAGGTTTTTGTGGGGCTTGCCTGTGACCTACCAATTGGTTTTTGTCAGCATGCAGCTCGGCTTGGAGTTGAATCCGGGGCAGGACCCAGGGTTCAAAATTTGAGTACGCAACCTTAGTCCGCTGAAGGCAAACCAAAAGTACATGGTTTACCAGTAGGATTTAAACCAAAACAGTTTTCCCCCAGCCAACCTACACAAGCCAGGGCGACGCTGTGTCCCCAACGCTGTGTCCCCAACATTTGCCCAAACAAATTCCCTTTATGTCCGTTGAAACCATGGTGCGTTTTCGGTTAAAGAAGAGGAGCTTACCATGACCAGACACCTGCCGTTGAGCGACGCATGCCGGACCATTGGACCATGGAGCGTGACGTGAGATTCGGAGTGACGCTGACATCGGTTTTAAGATGCAGCCAGGAAGTCGCGGATGACTTCTACGCCCAGCCGTCTTCGTGTTAGAAGGAGATGATTCTCCCATACACGATGAGGCGCGCACAAAATGTGGCTCTCACAGTCGACAGTGAGGAGATTTTGAGCATCACCGGTCATCTCTGCAAGCGCGGATCAATGCGTGAAGGTCGCTGCATCCGTAATACCTGCCTTCCAGACGTCGGGACCCAAGTTTGTCACAGCTGCACAAGCAGATGCAGCACGACACATGCCGAAAGCGCCCACAGGCTTTCACCATTCATTTCAAGGTTGAGCTTGCGTGCGGCTGGAGCGCCGTATTACAGTTCCGATACCTCGACTGCGGTCGCCAGCCACATGCGATCATTCGTCTACAGTGATCAGCAACTCTCTACAAAGCTGCCAAGCCGCGCCTCGGTGAGACTCGGTCAGGCATCAAAAAGTGTGAGTGCAGCATGCTCAAGAGCAAGCGCAGCGAGAAGGCATGGAACCCCATTCCCATTTCGGCTGCCAGCAACAAGTGGCTTATCCGTCACATGTGGAGAGGTGAGGACGTGCCGTGCTCAGATGTTCATCATGCTGCTGGCTCCAAGCGAGAATTCAAGGTGCAAACCTCCCAAACCCAAACGGCACTGAGTCGCCTCTCAGCAGATTCCTGCGATCCAAGCCAAGCTGCGCAAAGTCCGCACCATCTGTACCAATCTCGCGCCGCGTAGTTCTGCCTATGTCTTTTGGCAAGGCAGGGGGAAGTTTGCCACCCATTCATGGCTGTGGGCAAAGCAGAAGCTTGAAATTGGGTTCAACAGATTCCAAGGGACTGGGCTTCGTTTGCTTTTTTTACAACAAATGCAAGACTACTACTTTTCACATTGACCACACCTTGTGCTGGTCCAATTTGTGCTGTCATTTCATCCCTGTGCCAGGCGCAGCCTCGCCAGAACCACGCGCTTCTGCCGAGGTTCCGCGCCCAATGCACGTTCCGCGCGTTGGAGCGAGCCGTCGATCCCATCCACTTTAGCGGCTAGCACAGGCAAGCGAAGAGATGAAGGTTAGTTGGATGGACCACTCTACCAGGTCTTGATTAAGACGCACTTGTAGACTCATCCCGCTTCGGAATGTTTTACTTTGAGGTACATCCGTCCATCTTCCATGTTCAGACCCACACCCGGACATGTCGTTGATGGCTTTTGCCGAAAACCCCGAGGCGCGACCGGAGCCTAGAGGTGTCCCACTCCAAGGTGCGCGCTTGAAGGCACTGTGGTTGAATTGGTTGAAGACCTTTGCAGAAGACCTCGGCTTAAAACGACACAAAGGGCATCCTCAGAAAACGATATGCCTCCCCCTCCCCCAAAAAAACAAACAAGCAAGCAAGCAAGCAAGCAAGCAAGCAAGCAAGCAAGCAAGCAAGCAAGCAAGCAAGCAAGCAAGCAAGCAAGCAAGCAAACAAACACACAGAACATAGCAGACAAGTCTTTTGTGGCGCAGGTGAGGGTTTTTTCCCTTTTTGGACGGCTCTGCCAGGCGCCGGCGGTGCCTCGTGCGCCAGGGCGCCCAGGGCGCCCAGCTTGTGTCGGGGCCAACTGGGAACCCCCCAGCCACCCCCCCAGCCAAAAAAGGAATGGCGCAGCCGCTTGGTTTTCAGTGACCCGCAGAAGCCATTTGCTGCCAGAACCGCATCTTCGGTTGATCCCGTGCGAAAAAAACTGAGGCCACGGCCCAAAGAGAAGCCGCAGTCTGCAGGCTGGCCGTTGGCCGGGCGGGGATCACAACACGAAGCCCTTCTTTGTTGGTGGCCGGGTGGTTGCGAAATCCATTCCGCGACCTGAACCCAAGGGAATGATTCGATTCCCCAACGTGAATACCAACAAGCGTTCTGGTTTCAACCATGGTTTGAAAGTGGTGCAGGGAACCAACCAATCTGGGGGCTTCCCAACAAACACGCTGAGTATGCCAGCATTTTGTGGAGGCAAGTACAAGCCGGCTTGAGTCCTTCAATTCAGGGCCATCATGTGGGGTTGTTTGGTTCAGAGGTGGCCACGAGGCTGGCACGACTCTTTTCATCTCGTTCAGAACATATTCCTCACCTTGGCTCCCAGATCGCCCTTGCCGTCCCTGGTTTGCCAGCGATGGCCCGCTCTCTCTTGGGGGTCCTCAAAATCAGGCATCCCTTTGGATTGGTTTGGGAATTCATGAAGTGACTGGTCCTGAGGGATGGACCCCCTGGAACCAATCCAATTCCAATAGGTAAGTTGACCAACCATTTCTGGTGCATGGAAAGGAGATGCTGAGGCGCCTTGGCCCGAGACACGTGGTCCCGAAAGCCCTCCAATGAGAGCGGTGGGGGCCTAGGCAACTCGGCTCTCAGAGGGGTGGGTCATCGCTTGGAGTCGATGGTTTTTGGCCCAGCCAACGAAACCCATACGTCATAAGGTGGTTGCAAAATCGGCCTTGCGTCACGCCGAAACCGGGGGATCTGTGAATTTAGGCTGGAACTGAATGGGTTCAAAGGCCCAAGAGAGGGGGGGGGATGATCACACATTTGAGGCAAATCTTGGTTGGGGTGTCTGGAGGATGCGGCGAAAAGAGCACCGAGCTTGTGTCTGATGCAACTGTTGCTTCTTTGGTGTTGTTTGTTCAATCATTCTAAAAAAGGAATGCATAGCATGCATTTGAAGGGGCCTCTCCCTAGAGGGTGCACGGGAGTGCGTTAGTGGGTCACTAGTTGACAACCCACGACTGAGGTCAAACAGGCTCGCAACTGGGGCTTGCAGGTAGGCAAGGGGTGCAGATTTCGCGCCTTTGCCAGCGGGCATAAATGAAACCTGCCTCCTTTGCATGTCGCGTTGCTCGCTTGGTGCGTGTTGCCCCATTTTTGCCTTTGCTTGCCGGAGCCGACGGGCAGCAGAGGAAAGGCGGGGCAAAGATGACCACAACCTCCCGCCTTCCTGGGTCTGAGTGAGACTGCGCAGATCCAGTCTAGCGAAGTTGTGACAAATCTCACTCGACTGCGAAACACATCCAAGCGGTTCACAGGCACTGCGCAGCCATCTCCAAGCCCCCCGAAATCGCTTCCGCGCGTCTGCGTGGGGTTTTAGGACTTCCGAGTTGAGCTGTCTGCTATGCGTCACAGCCCAAAAGTCGGGAAGGCTCGCAGGTCCTTTTTGTACCCCCGGTGCCGGCGGTTTGCACGCTGCTGTGAGCAACGCTGGCTTGTAATGTGAATTGCCACTGGCGGGGCACCTCAGAAGTGCAACTAAAGGAGGCACGATGGCAAGGCATGGTTGGCCAGAATTCACACGCCCACCACAGTGGCTAAATCGAGGGGAGGACAGCCAGACGTGTGCCTTTGCCTTTCGTGAGATATCATTTGCTCGTGGGCACCCTGGCTGAAGGTGTTTTTGGGAGCGACTCATAATCAGCACGCCTGCCACAAAAAGGGCAACGTGGATTGCTTCGAAAAACTGCAGTAGCGTGTTCCTACTGTGGATGGTTGCGAAATCCATTTCGCACCACCTGAAAAAAACTGGACTGATTCGATTCCCCTGTAAATACCAAACAATTATTTCACCCACGGTTTCTAAGCCCTGTAACTGTAAATACCAACAACAAACAATGGTTCCCACGGGTTCTTTTTTTGTGCGATTTCTGGATTTCGTGCCCATCCGTTTGGTCCCGCGCCGTGAGGTCACCTCACCATGCCCAGCGAGGCACGGCGGCCCCGCAGCGCCGCAGCCCCGGTTTGGCGCAGTTGGGGAACTCGGCGTCCCGTTCATTCGCTTGTGTTTGCTTCCATTTCAGCAAATAACCCCGGATGAATAAACCCCGGATTAGAAAATAATGTTGACCCCGGATTAAGCAGAACCCCTGGTTGATTTTGATTGGGGGGTGCCCTCGGTTTTAGTGGGGATTCCTCACGTTTGGAGGGAACACCCCCTAAAAATGGGACGGGCTTGTAATCCTGGGTCAACATTAGGTTGTGTTTCTCAGCCGTTCAGTTTTTTGTTGCGCGTTCTTTTGCCTGTAATGGTTGGCGAGGACCATCGCGGACCTTGGGCAATCAAGCGGGAGAACACGAGCGTAGACTCGACGGGTGAACTGCGCGCGGTTCGTTCAGGAAAGTCCTTTCGCGCGGATCAACCAGCTGAAGCGGGAGCCAGGGGCTTGGCGCTGGAAACGGTTTGATCCGAGCATTGGAAGCCTGACAGGAACGCAACGTTCCCCCCCCCTCCCGCGGTCTTGCACTGTTCATTTGCGCTTGTCAGTGGGAGGTGTTTGCTAGGACAGGCAGTAGGCCTTGTGTCTGGGCCTCCTGGATTTCCCCTTAAGTTGCACTTGACTGGCAGTGTCCATTGAAACTGCCACTTTTAAAGGTTCCAAAAGGGAAATGGAGGAAACCTTGTGCACCAACCTTGAGAAAGTTTCAATCGGTCTCACATTGGACATGGTTAGTCTGTCCCTCCCCAGCTTTTCCAGCCTTTCTTTTCCCTGGCGGAAGTGGCGGGGGTTGCCAAAGCGCCGCGTTCTCACAAAGCCAGCAGGGTGTGTCAAAATCGGGATGCCCAGGTTGTTGGTGTTCCCTTCAACTTCTAGCTTCCCTTACCAAGCTGTTGCCACATTTGACCAGAGACCCCACCAGAGACCCACCAGAGACCTGACCGCCTGAAAAGCAAGGAGAGAATGCACGGAGAACCAGGCCATCGAAGTGGGGCCGCCTCGGAGGCGGGCGGTGGTCTGGCGCTCGCCTTGTTTGAAACGAGCTGACCGAGCTCACGGTGATAAAAAGGTCCTTTACTTTGAAATTATAGTAAACATTGCGGTCGCCTTTTTTTGGTTCAGCCTGTATTTAAAAAGGCTGGGACAAATGCGGCCAAAAAAACGCGGGCTGGCTTTGCATTCACGTTGCTCTCCACTTTCGATCCGCTCCAAGCTCCAGCAGACCCGCTCGCTCCCCTAAGCCTTTGCTGGGCCTCGCGAGGGCAGAGTCCACCGTGACGGACAACAACTTCCACCGTGGCCACATCTTAGGCGGAGCTGTCTGCAGTGAGCGCTTTGTAAGGGTAGCTGCCTGAAGAGTGCCCAGAGACTAAAAGGAACAGTAAGAGCCTTTCCTGCTGGTTGCCCTGAATTACCAGGATTGTGGGACCTGAGCAAGCACAAGTCTTACATTTGCTGTGCACCTGCTTTATGACTTTGCAATTGTCCCTTTCGGCTTTGCACACATGATCACACACACACACACATGTGTGTGTGTGTGTGGCCCTCACGGTGTTCAATGACTCAAAAAGGTGTTGATGCGTGCTTGGGCATGAAGACGCGTCTTTCCCTGCGTGAAACAGAGAAGAAGGCTATTCGCCCAACGACCTCCCCTGTTGCCAGAGTGTCTATCCACAAGGTTTAAGGAGTGAGGAGGGGGGGGTGTTTTCTGAGGGTCGCCGGGGAAAGCCAAAAAAAGACACCTCTCATTTGCGCGGGTCCGAATTTTGACACATGGGTATGGGTCAAAACCAAGCCACCAGGGGCCGCAGGTTTTAGTGTTTGGTTCCATTTACCAGGGCGCTTGCCATTTTGGGGTTACCAACTATTTTTGACTTATCCACAGCCACATACCCAGGTGGCTCGGACCGGGCCTTGGCTACTGGCAGGTCAGGAGATCACTTCCTTCAAGGGCATCCATTGGAGCAAGCGCCCCGCGCCACGCTTGCGCAGACTCGCTAGGTCCAGCTGGGTGCCCTCTCATTTACCCCTTTTTGGGTTGGGAGGGGAACCCCCCTACTGAAATAGACTGCAGAAAAAAGTTGGTACCCTTATTCTAACCTCTCTGGAGGACCTAGTCAAGGCTAAGGCCCAGAAGTTGTGAGCCTTTGGGGCGAAGGGCGAATGGCTCGGATCAATCCGAGCAACCAAGTTGTGCGCAAAGTGTCCATCGCTCGATGGATATCATGCAGATGAGCGGACAAAGCCAGAAACACATTGCTGATTGTTCCTTGGGGAAAAAGCGGATACCAAGAAGGACCCGTTTTGACAAGCCCCCACACGTGCCATGGTCGAACGACCGGTTCCTTTGCTATGCAGGTATGGTCATCAACCCTACCTGGAAAACCAGAAGGATCCTGAAGGGAGCCATTTGAGCCATAGAACCATGGCAATCATGTTAAACAAAAAAAAAAAAAAAAAAAACTGACTTGAAATGGTGGACATCGATCGTTTGGGTTTGTCTCAAAAGGGACCCTCCAAATTGGTGGAAACCCTTTCAAAAGGGACCCTCCAAATTGGTGGAAACCCTTTTGGTTTCCAAACCAAAACAGCCAAAGGGGCCCTAAAAGAAGGCATGCATTTGGGTGGAGCATCATGTCCACCAACCACTTCTGATATGGGTCCTTAAAGTTCCTAGCCCTATGAGCCACAATCAAAACCCAGATAGATGAAGGTTAGTAAGGGACAATCCCAGCCACAAATGGTTGCGGCCGCCTTCTTAATTTTTTACATGGTTCCGGGTAGACCATTTTGATACAGGGTTTTGATTATGACTTATCTGCCACAGCGCGAATTGAGCGCACGCCAGGGTCAGCAACTTTGAAGCCAACGAGCGGCCACTGGTGCGAAAGTCCCTGCTCCGGGAGATGCAGGCGATCTGTTTTTGCTTTTTTTCTTCTTATACGACTTGCTGGTTGTAAACATCGACTGTTGGAAAGGCCAGTATGCAGCGATGTTCTTGTTGGTGAGGTGACGTTGGTTTGGAAATATACAGCTGAGTACGCGCAGGGCGGGGATGCCATCAGAAGGGTGGAAGGTGGATAATATAGGCAGCGACCACTTCTGAAGATAGAACAGCTCGTTGGTGTTCTCATAGCCATTCACTTTCGGCTGTGGCCTTGTAAGATCAACTATGTGGAGGCTGTAAGCCCTTCTCAACACCTGCCTGACTTGTGCTATTAATCAGTTTGCGGTAGCACCGAGCTGGCAGTGCGTTTATTCCGTGCAAGACCTTCAACACGCGTCTCATCCCCAACGTAGTTTTCGACGGAGGTATGCCATGAGAAGGGTCAGCTCATTCCAGCGTCTCTAAATCGACTGCGTGAGGCTCGAAAAACATGGGCAGCACTTCGTCCATTTGCCCTTCCCCCTTGTGGCCCTGTGACCTGCCCGAGAACCAGAGACTTGCTGTAGATTCGCTGTCAGGAAGCACCTCAAGAGCTGGAATGGCTGAAGGCAGCTGACAGACTGGCCGATAGAGTCTGGTGAGAGGTCACGGAAACTAACGGAAGCTTGGGGCATGGCTTTCTTGGATCAGCTGGAACTGGGTCCATTCACGTGGGCATGTTGAGAGGTTTTCAAAATGACTTTGGGGCCTGGTTGTTTCCCTTCAACACAATTGCGAGGGTTGTTTTGAGGATGTCACTTGAATGGGTCTATTTGAATCATGTTGTACTGCGGGCACAGTTGTTGGCTGAACGAGGCCAAGCCAAAGCCGAACCTCCCCGAGGAGAAAGACTTTTCGAGGCGCAACGTGCGCGTGTCCCCAGACTTTGCACAACGGGCAAGGCGATTTTTCCTCTTTGGGTATGTGTCGAATTAGGGAGTTGGACCTACCAATGAGCACCCCCCAGTTAGATAAAATCCCCTCAACCGACCAATTCACATAATATTTTTTCATCAATTCATAACAGAACCTCAACTCAAGATTTGATACATAAATTTTGCAAATATTTTTCGTTTTTTTCAAAAATATTATTTTACAAAATTATCATTTTTCCGAAGAATTATAAACCATAAATTTTACAATATTCTTATTGTAAAGTTTATGGTTAACATTTAAATCATATTATTTCATAATTTGAATAATTGCAGAATTCCTCACGGAATATGCTGAAATGAAATAATTTTCCAGAAAGGGTAATTCACCTACAATTTGAAAAACTTTGTCCTTCACTTCCTCCATTTCCTTTTTGACCTCTGGTGCTACTGGAGGTTTTGAATTTTCAATTTCATTAGGTTTTTCTTCCTCAACTGTTGTTTTTACTTTATTCTCATTCTCAATATGCTTCAACGTTTTCAAATGCTTGGATATTGCAGATTTCCTCACTTTACACTGGCAAATATCACATTCTATTTCAATCTGATTACGCACTTTACTATATTCCTTTTTCTTTTCCTTCCTATCAATTTTACTTTGTTGTCGGCAGTAATCACAAATATGCACTCTAACATTAAATAGGTCAGGTGGATAAGTGTTTTCACATCGCCTACATTTTTGCATTTTGTCAGTCATCTCCATGCTACTATTGATAGGTGGCATGTCTTTAAGACCAGACCATCTTAAAATTCCTAAATTCCCAAATTCCCAAAATATATTTTTCCAAAATCCCAAAATATAGAATCCCCATAATTTCAACACATAAATCTTACAATGTTTTTTTATTGTAAGGTTTATGGGTTAATTTATAGTTTAAGTTCAGGATAATAATTTAATTGGTGACTATTAAATTGTTGATACATCTTACCCCTTTCATGCATCATTTTAAAAATAATATTAATATCTCTAACTGAGTTTTTGACATTAAACTTTTTTCTTTCAATATATGTTTTAATGTCTTCTTTTACATCAAACCCTTCCCTTTTATGATAAGCCAACATCCATAATATACCTGCAATCATTTCATATTTTTTCTTACTGATTTTCAGAAATGCTCTACATAACTATAAGGTGGTCTTTCATACACAATTAAAAATATCAAAATGTCATCTTCTACATTTCTATTATGTCTTCCTTTTATTCTCAACACACAACTGATTATAGCTTGGTCATCTCTCCAGGTTTTACAATTTTCACATAAATCTTCTTCACCCAAAGCATAATCAATAATATTATTTATTATTCCATTAGGTAAGTTTAATTTATACAATTCCATATTTTCTTTTTTGAAGTGGCAACAGTCATAGCATTTCTTATTAATATACTTATTGATTTCAATACCGCTCATTTCTTCACTATTAATATAAGGTGTCTTTTTCTTTAGGACTATTTCGCCTAAAACTAAATTATTAATTTAAGTCTTTCTATTATTTTATCACACGTTGTTTCATTATAAATATTACTTCCTATTTTTGTTCTAAACAACCCCATTGTTCTAATTGCATGTGTTATTGTATATCTAAGTTCGTCAATTCTATACTCATCATTTAAAAACTCATTAAAAAATTAAACAATACAACATAGTTTAAACGGTTAATATTAAAAGACATATTGTATAATCTTTTTACCATACAATAATACTTAAAAATAAATTCATTATTATATCCTTCGTCGTCACATTCTAATAAATGATCAAACCCTTCTATAGTTAAGAAATTATTCATTTCAATAAACACAAATATTTCAAAATCATCATCAAGAGTTTCATTATGTATAATATCAATATCTTTGTTATTCATATCATCATTTTTTTATAATTCTATTGCAATTATTGCATATCATATATTGACAAATATTATTACAAACGCCATTTGCAAAACCCCGTTCAATTGGTAATTTGAGCATTTCACAGTCTTTACATTTATAACTCATAAACTTGTTTTTCAATATATTTTTAGCATTGATACCGACTGTATCACTCATTTCACTATAATATATTAAGTTATTATTTCTTCAAGTCATTTTGAAAACATAAATCTTACAATGTTTTTATTGTAAGGTTTATGGATTAAAGTAATGGTCAGGCAATATGTCTTCAAATATGTAATCTACATATTTATCTACATCACCAATGTCTATATATTTGATATTGTTTTTTCCTATTATTGAATAAATATATTCCCAAAAGAATAAATACAACAATAGACATACTTTATATTTAGTGTTGTAGTAATTCCATATACTATATTTAGTTGCTCTAAATTCGTTCAAGACTTCGTTTATTTTATCTTTGTCTAATAAATGCCAGTCAATCCATTCAAACAAATAACGGTATTTTTTGACAAATGCTTTATATGGTTTAATTGCGTTTATTCCTCCAAACCTCCTAATTAAATCTATATTACTAAAGAATTCATCAATTTCATTTTCAAATGACTTTCTGGAAATCTTCTGGTAAAAGTGTATAGGAAATCTTGCTTGGTGTCGCATAAAGAATTTTAATTGTAATTGAAACTTTGTATATCCCTTATCCTTATGTTCTTCAAGAAAAAACTTTTCAAGGTCTCTTGTTATACAGCATTGATTGCAATATACATTATATTCACTTATTGTATTACATACATTTGCCGGTAGTATATGATGTAAGGTTAAACTCAAATTATTCATTTTGCATTTACAGCATTCGCACTTGTTATAGTTAAACAACATTTCACTAATATTATAAGGCGTTTTTTCTTTAACTGTATTTCGTTTAATATTAAACTTTCAATAATTCGTGTCTCAAATAAGGATTAGTTTTTCCTTCCAAATGAAAGTAAGATTGTCCTAGTTTACTATCAATTGATTTTACTTTAAATACTTCTTTTAACCAATGACTGGTATGTGCCTTTTCGCTTATGCCTTTCTTCCTTATTATTTTTACATTACTTCCTACGTCTAATTCTGGATACATTCTAGTTTTCTTTGCTTGCATTGTAATATTCATTTTTACTTCAAATTCATTCTTTTTCATTCTTGCGTCCTTCGGTGTAAATTTAGTTGCGGAATGAATATTCTTATTATTGTAAGTTAATAATATTTCAATAATATAATCCGTCCATTGGATATTCTGCTTTCCATTTTTCTTGTCCGCTTCAACTCGTTTAAACAGTTGATCTTTTAAAGTCTGAATTCCACGCTCCGCAAATGCTGGATGACCTCTAGTTCTATGTAAGTCAATTTTCTCCTCCTTCAAATAATCTAATACTAATTGATTAAAAAAACTGCCTTCCTCGTCGGTATAAATTAATTTCGGTTTGCCACCCATCTTATTGATATTCTCCATCATTCCTGCTAAAATGTCTGGCGGTGTCTTGGATTTAATTGGCACGATATGCATATATTTGCTAAAAATATCAATGCATATCATTCCAATTCTGAATGTTTGATTTTCCAAATCATTTTTAGAAATGAAAAACATATCAACTTGAAATTCCCAGAAACTATGCGGAGCAATAAAACTGTTTTCACCTCTCATCTTTCTTTTTTCTTCTACATTCTTACTAAAGAATTCATTAATATCGTTAATTGTAATACTACTATCTTTTTGCTTAGCATCCTTGAGGGTTGTTTGTTTTGAACCATAACCGCTTCTATCATAATATACACTCTTAATAATTTCTTGTGTTGAACTCATTAATTAAGTTAATAAAATAATTTTGAAAAACTCATTTTCAAAATTATTCATGACGCGCTGCAATTGCAATAGACACAGAAGGCGGTGCAGTTTTCAACTGTGTGGCATAACTCATTATCACAACGTTGAGCAGTGAAGTTAGAACTTATTTTTCCTCCTCTTGTATCTAGATTAAATTTAATTCCGCAGTTTTGGCAACAGGATTTGAAGTATTTTAAGCACCAGTTTTCGTCAATGTATTGCTCTTCGTCTATTTCTCTTTTTGCTACTCTATCTTGCTGTTTATATCCTTCAACTTTGTTTTAAAATAGTTGATTACCAAACTCTTAAACATATCTTCATCTCCCTCTTTGTTCTTGTAAAAATAGACATTGTTAAAATCCCTCGCTCGTGTGATACTCGTCCACAACCATTCCCTACAAACTAAATAATCTTTGTTCCATTCGTGAATGGTCATATTATCACTGATTGATGTCCCCTGTCTGCTATGAGTGGTAGCACAGTAGGCATATCTAAAATGCTTATCTACAATATCAATGTCAAGTGTTCTAATGTTCTCTGTATCCTTAATATCTTGTATTGTTATCTTGTATCCTTCGTTATTAACAACCTTCCACCTAATATTAACATTCAGTTTTCCTTCCTTGTCCTTTTTGTAAAGTCTGCATATTAAGATTTCTCCAATTTCATATTTGCATGGTTTACCTAATCTTTTTCTAATCTCATTGGATACTGCCTCACATCTAATATTTGTATATGCTATGTTGTTTTCACTATTCATAACATCTTTAGTAAATTTGAAATGCTTAATTATCCAGTCTTCAACTGCCATCTTTTTTACCCAAAAGTCATCATAGATTTCATTCAGTTTCTTTCTGTTTCTTTCTCCTTCTTCTGTATCCTTACCACCTACTCGCTTACATATCTTTAAAAATATATTATATTTAAAAATAATGTCAATACATTTGTCAATGTATTCGCCTGCATTTTGAGTATTAGTGAAAGGTTCAATCGGTGGCAGTTGCTTGACATCACCGGCACCTATAATTACGATGTCAGGATTGTTATTTGCAAACACCCTTATTTTGTTCAATATGTAAGGACTGGACATATAAATCTCATCAAACACTATACATTCAAAATCTGAATAATCAAACTTTGGTAGGTCATCCCCTTTATCAACTGGAATACTAAAGAATG